CACTGTCTGGTTGAGGTACTAGTTGGAGAACCTGCTTTATTTCAGACGGTACTCTATGCCTTTTGGAATGGACTAGTTCTGTAGCCTGCTGAAATGGAGAGAACTGGGTTTCAAGATGATTTTAGCAGTTTCCCACGCCAAGTTGAATTAAGCTGCTGGACGACAGACATACCCCAGAGAAACCAAAGACAAATGCCAATTTTAATAGGGTTGTTTATCCTTTTCTCTCCAGTTAATAAGTATGAATGGACCCCAAATTCAATCAAAAGATCATGTCAAAAGCAGGAAGTTAAGAAAAAATAAGTGTTTCGGGGTTAGTCCATGATTTTGATACTACTGAAGTTTTGTTAAGACCGAAGATTAAAAAGTAAATTTGTAAATTGCCATAATTTTAAAGTGATAAAAGCACAAAATAATTTTGCATGCTTACAGAAATATGTGATAGTGTAGGGGCATAAATATATTGTTACATGTAAGGTTTTCAAAATTGATATTCCAAAAAGTATTTCTTAGCTATGTTTACTTTTAAAGAGCATAAATAGAAAATATTTCTCACAGATGAAAACAGAGTAAGTATGAGGGATCAGATGCTTGATATTTTAATGTAATATGTCCTTTTCTATATTATCAATAAGGCCAATTTTTAGAAATTAACCTCACAGGAACCAAAGAATATATATGTTTAAGATCCTCATAGTTATTCCAGAGAGTATAAACCAAATGAGATATTGAGGGTTTTTGCTTGATGATCATTTGTACCAACTAGTTTTTACAATAACAGATTTTCAGTTGTATTAAATGTTTTGGATTCTCACATTTAAAAAAATAAAAGCAAAAATAATTTCTGCAATAATTTCATGTGCATCAATAGTCCAATCTACTTTGGAAAGATTAGGGAGGGTCAATATTTTATTTTTCTATGAGTGGCTAAGGCAAGTACTCACTTTCTTGGATTATTGAATTTTTATGTAATACTTATGCGCCATTGAATTACTTTCATTGTAATTGGTCCATCGTGTGTACTGTGGCCTTTGGGTTTACATTTTTCACCTAGATGTTACTCATCTTTTCTGAAGGCTACTTTAAATTACATCAGATCTCATCTTGACCTTTTGATTTAGGATAAGTTGATTATATTTTGGTTAAAAAAAAAAGTAAACTGTTACTTTGTTATTGGAAAAATAACCCGTAGCAATGATGTATTACTCTATTCCATCAATCTAAATGTGTTTTAGAGTGATGAAAACCCATTGACACAGTTGTCAAAGCAAGAGTAATGAATGTAACAAAAATTCATTCCCTAGAAATGTTTGGCATACTTGCTGACATGGCAATACAATCAATACATAGTCTTCTGGTGGTCTTTGTAAAGCTTGAGGGTTTAAATCATCACAGGGAGGTTAAAACTGAAGCAGTGCCCTATCAATAATAGCAAGGATGAAATAATGTTTCTACATAATGCCTATGGGAAACCATACCTCTGCAAAACTACATGTGTTCTTCTCAGGGCGGGGTGCGCTGAACTGAATTATACTAAAAACTATTCAAACTAATCAAAAGAACCACATTGACTCTTCTTTAAAATTTATGTTCAGAAACATCTTCTTCCACACCATTCCTAGTAGTATTTCTATTCCTGCTGCTTTTGTAAAACATTAATAATAAAAAAATATATACTTGGCTGAGGGGCATAGAAATGATAGTGCAGTTAGATGTCACTAACAGCTGGAAATCACAGTTGCTGGGGAGGTAGTGATAGTTGCCAGCTCAGGCTGCGGAGACTTCCCACTGACAGCTGCTGAGGTCTCCCCATTTGGGTCCTTCCTGCAGGTCCACCCTGTGGACCACCCTTCTCCCCTCCTGATCCTCTTAGTTCTTGGCTTCCTCAATACCTCTCTCTCAGTCTGATCACTCTTTCTGACAACTTCTGCCCTCCCCTTAAATCTCAGTGGCACCCCAACTCCAAGTTTATTATGTCCTCTCTCAAAAGCCATAGGGTAAAGATGAAAAAACTGCAAGTTTTATATTTAGACAGAAGCAGTATTGTATTACAGATATATAGGGTCATTTACTTAACCTTTCAGTGCTTCCGTTTCTGCCTCTGTGTTGAAGCAATAGGATAATTACAGAATTGGTGCATCACCTGCAATATGTATACAGGGTCTGGGACATAGTAGTAGTCTATTATCTCTTATCTCTTCTAGGTAAAAATTACAGTAAATGTATTTTTATTGACATGTGTTTTTGATTGGTTCATTTCTCTATATTTAGCTGTGGCCTCTGGTCATCTGTCAAACAGATTTTCAGCAATTGCTCCACAGCAATGTGGTGTAGGTTCTTCATTCACAGTGAAGGGTGCCAAATAATTAGGGTGAAGATTCCCCTAAAGGACTTAGGTCAGCAAACTAAAGCACTCTGTAAGTTTCTATTGATTTTGCCATACACAGAAATTTGTTTTAGATGGACTGTAAAAAGGAAGGAATAGGCTACCCCTTTGAGTTGTATATACATCTTACCATGAATTTCTGGAGATGAAGGATTGTAGTATGCTTTGGCCAGGAGACACAAGAACGCTTATGTTCTGTTCTGCCTGTGAGGTCCCCAAATAAGATACTTGTAGTGCTGATATTGACAAGGCAAAAGGAAGTACAAATATATTATTAGCTGAGGCTTGGTCTTGAGTCCCAAAACAGAGCTCTACAATAGGCTAGAAGAGGTGACAAGTTCTTTACCCTAATGAGGTTGGCTTGAATGACCTGAATGTAAACTACTCCATTAGGCAGGCTCTGATTCTCTTAAGCCCAAACCAGTGTCAGACATGAACATTGCAAGATGAAGAGAAAGATGGATCCAAGGCCCACATGCAGCAATAGGAAAAGAGGACACAGAGCAATGTTTCTCGACTGTAAAGTATGGCACCGGGCTAATCTACCTGCCTCAGGTCCTGGGCAGGCCCCAAAACAGAGCTGAGTTGCCCTAAAGAGAGAGATGGTGGGAAGATGGAGAGATGGCTAGGTGGAAAGAAGAAAAATGAGACCACAGCCACCTGCTGACCTAATAAAATTCTACCTACGAGATGCACTCACATATTGGGACAACAGCAAATCACAAAATGATTCCACTGATAAAGTAAAAAATGTGCAGTACTATCAGCTGTCATGGCCAAATCAGTGTTCTTACCCCTAAATCAGTGTTCCATCTGTGTATCCTGATTCTTCTTGGGGAGGAAGCAAATGTGGGCTTAGGGAGGAAGCAGTTGTTACCCCTAGAAGTCAATAATCTTGTATGTTGGTAACTGAAACACCCCCCCTAAACAGTCTCCCTTTCCAATCTCTACCCTCAGTCAGTTACTCACAGTACTGACAAGTATTCTTTCATCTCACCTAAAATCTTCAATAGGTCTACATTGCTATCAAGTTCAAGTCCAGACTCATAAATTAGGAGGTACTCAAGAGGCCTTTTGCACTCGGTTCTAGGTGACCTCTGCAGCATCCCCTTTTTGCCATATTCCCTTCATCACTCTGCCTGTAGCTTCATTGCTTTACTAAATGACATCACCCATTTTGTCATTGTCGTTATTTTGCTCCTGCCCTTTCTACCCACCTTTAAGATCTAACTCTTCTGTTATCTCCTGTAGAAAGCCTTCTTTGATGCCCCCTTCTTTTGTGGCCCCATAATGTTCTATAAATAGTGCATTTTATGGTGATTGATAGTAGTTCTGTTTTTCCCACTAGCATCTGTACTGAGATCCATTATGGTAGGAAACATATCTTATTTACATTTTATTCTTTTTTTCTTATTCATGTTTAATATATTGACAGATACATAGTAAATGTTCAGTATGTTTGTGGAATTGCATTATTATTGTGGACATAGCTTCAAATCCTTGTGGACTCTTTCCTGTATGCTGCCAGAGAGTTTTTTTTTAAAGTTGGAACTTTTAAAAATGGCTTTTAATTCCAAGGAAGAGTCACTAACCTTCACAACATTATCGTTTTGTTCTGATAAAATATCATTGCATCAAACCCAATGAACATCTTTATTAAGATTGGTTTTACATGTAATTAAGATAAGCCTTTTTGCAGTTTAATACAGAAAATACTCTATAACACATGCATAAACTAAAACATCTGAGCTGATTACAGATCTTTTATTTTATTAAAGGAATCATTTGAGATTCATAGTTGTCTTAATATTTGAGTGCAGCCAGGAGTTCCTGAATTGACACTTGTTTCTCGTCTCTGAAGGATTTTTCAGAGGTTGATAGTATGACTTCTGTTTCCAAAAATCCAACGTCCAAAAAGCCACAGATCCTCCTTTAGAAAACCGTGATGTCACTGAGTTGGTTGTCTAAAAAACCAACTAGTGTAACCTAATGCCCTCCGCTGTGATTGTACTCCATGCTGTCTTTTTCTGGCTCATTCTCAGCTGGAATATTTGCAAAGGAAACATTTAGGCTGAGGAGACGAGAGTTGGAGAGGACCAAGCTCTGGAGCTGTCCATAGCTGAGCCTTTGTCCTAGCCCAGGTGTGCTGCTCCTCTCTTGTCTATTCCCATCATTTACTTAGGAACCTCATTGAAAACTTGGGGCCTTTCAAAGACAGTCAAAAGAATTCCAGTTCTACTAAATGAACATTTTAAATAATGATGATGATCGTAATAATAATAACAACAAGCAGCCCACAGCAAGAAAGTATTTTAGCCACACTGTATAAAGCATTACGAAAACCTCTATTCCCCTAAACTGAAAAGAGAAAATAGACGTGACTCTTTGGGATGAGATCCATTAAGAGGATAGCCACCACAGTTTGAGTTACCTCTCTGCTGTCACTTTTGATTGAAACCAGCAGTGAAGTGTTTTGCCAAATCTATTCTTAATTCCCTTACCAGGGTCCCTCTATAATTGTCTTTCCCATTAGGGAGTCACTTGGAATTAATGTATTGACAATTTGCTGTGATTGATGACAAATGGCTTATTAACATTTCCCCCTACTCTTCAGCCCACAGAGCAATACTAAGAAGACATTTGGTTTTAAGTATTAAAAAGAAGAACAAAGTATTCAGACCTTCAAAGGTAGGAGTTTATCTTCTTAAAAGAAGGGAATTATGCCCTGGCTGGTTTGGCTCAGTGGATAGAGTGTCAGCCTGTTTGATTCCGGTCAAGGGCACATGCCTGGGTGCGGGCTCGATCCCCAGTAGGGGGCATGCAGGATGTTTGAAACATCTCTCATCATTGATGTTTCTAGCTCTCTCTCCCTCTCCCTTCCTCTCTGAAATCAATAAAAAAGAAGGGAATTTTTTTTAAAAAGAAGGGAATTATACCATAAAATGATGTGATTATAAAATATTATTGCCTTATTTAATACGTTTTAATCCAGAGAGTATAATAAAATACAGAGTAGGAGTATATATGCAAAAGCTTCTTGTCAAAAAGGATGGACCAAATACATAGAATACACAGTGAAGAAAACCAGCCCTTCGTGTCCTTTCATAGTAAAACAACTTTGTTTTACTAAGTTACAAGTCATACACTTCAGGAAATAGACAGCAGAATAAAAGCCTTGCTAGTAAACAATATTTTCTGAAAGAATTAAAGATTTAAAATGACAAGGAATCATTTACAAGAAAAAGAGTTTTCTTTTTGATTTAATCGTTTATCAAAAATCTCCCAAGAACTTATCATCTGTACGTGATTTTTCTTGTCTCACAGTGAAGTCCGAGTAATACAAAAGTCCTTTTGGAAAGTTTAAATATTACTTCGATATGTGTGTTCTGCTTTGTAAATACCCCCCTCATTTCCCACCCCCACTGCTCCATTTTCATTTATTTAGTCTTAGAATTATCAACTTTAGAATGGACTCTGGCAGGCCTATGATGCCTTCTGAAAGGCCATTATTATCGTATTGAACTTCATGAAAAATATCTTACTTGGAGATCTGGAACACAGTTCAGAGAACCATATCTCAACCAATAATGGCTTTTTCTTAAAATTTTTATGAGAGCATGATTGTTCAGACACTTAGTCCTATACCTCCTAGGTTTCATTTGGCAAATAAACTCTCATGGACTTTAATTAAGAAAAGAAGATTGTATGCAAGATTTTGAGGTAGTAAAATATTCTAAACATGTCCCTTGTCCTGGAGAATTCTTTAATTGATTCATTCGGATGTTGTTTTGTATTTAAGAGGAAATGATTCATGCCTTATTTGAACTTGCTTTCATTGTGCTGTATTGAAACTGATTTTATATGACTAGTTCTTATGCTGTTTCAAAATACCACCAGAAATCCCCAAATTGGTAGTCTGGGAACTAAGAACGCTACTTTGTAAATCAAATAACACACATTTTGTTTTGCTTGAAGAGTTCTTGAGAAGTGAAAATTAGTGAAGACTAACAAAATTGCTGAATTGAGTATGACAAATACCAAAAGAGCCTTAAAATCTGTATAAATGGCTGTTTTAATAGAAAGCTTCCTTAGTTAATGTAAAATGTCTTCTTTTATAATGTTTTGATACATCTATACATACCCCTCCAACAAGTGTCCATACTTCATAAAATAAAGAACACTTGTGAGGTAAAGCAACATAATATAATAGCAAGACCCATCCATCTGACAGACACATGAAAGTGTATTCACCAAATCACAGTTGTTAGGAACTAGGGATTAGTAGTAATGATGTTAAGTAGAGTGGCCTATCAATAAAACACTACTATACTATCAGCAGTAAGTTATTGCAGGTTCTTCTGTAAGCAGTATATTGTGTGAACCTAGGAGAGGTAAAAAGATGGCAAGATCAGGAACTTATCTGTAAATGATTGTTTCTAGTAAAAGGAGAAAATACATTAATACAAGGCCAGGGAAGGGACCACCAGAAAGGAATACATCCGGCCCTTTTATGGGGACAGAGATGGGGCTCAATAAAGGGTGCTGTCCCACTTTTGAGGATGCTCTCAGCTAGTTTCTAACGGAGTTTACCTGGCAGTTTCTATTGTTTTCTATTTTATTCATTGTGGGAGAGTTATTTGACTTAAAGTCTCTGTCTTCTAGACTAAGTCATAGTGAAAAGGTTCAATTCTACATTCTTCTCATTGATCTTTTTGGCCAGTCTTTTGTTAAATGAATGAAGTGAATTTTTAGTTGTCATGCACTACTGAAGCCACTGAAATATCTCATTTTATCTTTGTAAATGATTTAATCGGGTTGAAACTAAATACTGAGTTGTCTTCCCCATTTATTTCCCTGGCCTCACAAAGACTCCCTAAAACTTCCCGAATTTCTAAAGCACACTTGTATTCAGAAGTCCCCAGGCTATTCAAGAATACGGCCTCTGACATTAGAATCAGAAAGTTTTTTGTAGCTCCTGTTTTCAGTGGTCTTTCCCACGTTCACTGGTGTGCGTGTTATGTTCTCCGAAAGATGGGAGCAGCCAGAACTGTGGTGTGTGAACGCCCACTCCTATCCCCACATCCTTCTCTCTGGAAAGTGCTACCTCTTCCAGTTTTCAGTTTATATATAAAAACTGTGTTCACATTCATCATTAATGCTAATGTGTAAATTCTCTCCAAGGAAAATCTGCCTTCCACCTGGCTTGAAAACCTTGAATTAAAATGCAGGAGAGCAATGGTGGAATTGCAGTAGCAACCAGAGCGAGGAGAAGGGACACCCCCAAATCACTCCATATAATGACTGTTTTCTTGTCTGGCTGCATTTGTGTAAGTTTGGTTCTGGTTGTAACTATGAGTCTGAAGAAGAATCTTGGCCATGCTGTACCTTAAAGCATGCCCTTTCTGGCAAGCTATATAAAAAGAAATCTCTGACAAGTTATTAGAGTTCTTTAATGATTGTTTTTGGTTAATGACTTGAAAGTTGTTCTTTCCCCTGGACTCTTAGTACTAGCTTTTTAAAATTATGCATATATCTCAGGAGGATGGTAATGATAGTTGACCCTTGAGCAACGCAGAGGTTAGAAGCCCTGAGCCCTCATACAGTCAAAAATTTGTGTATGACTTTTGACTCCCCCAAACTTAACTCCCCCAAACCTTAAGTTATCCTGTGGTATATACATGGGATTATTTCTAAAACCTCCCCCAGATACCCAAATCGGAGGATGCTCAAATCCCCTATATAAAATAGCATAGATCAATATACTAGTATACAGTTGCCCCTCCACATCCACAGACTCCTAACCACTGTTCAAAAACAGTACAGGCATTTCTTTAAAAAAACAAAATCCTTATATAAGTGGACCCACATAGTTAAAACCTGTGTTGTTCAAGGGTCAACTGCAGATATTGAATAGATAATAGTAAAACTGATGACAGTAAAAAGACTATCTTATAATTAAGTTGATTTGTAAATGTGAATCAATATTTTATTACAAAGCCCAAATGGGACTACTGTTTTTAATACTATTTAAGAGTAAAGAGATCTATCAAAATTTTGTCCTACAGCATCATTTTAAATCTGAGAACGTTTTTATCCATGTTATGTGACAGCAGACAAATCCAGGAGACTCGTATCATCCACACAAGGAATACTTACCTCATGAAACTAGAGTTGAAAAGCTCATGAATAAAGTAGTTACCCCAGGAAGCCTAGAACTTACAAAAACTGAGACAGGGGTCTAAATCTACACAAAGGATATTCACTGCTTTATTTATTTATTTATTTATTTATTTATTTATTTATTTATTGAATTTATGGGGGTGACAGTGGTTAGTGAAATTATATAGGTTTCAGGAGTATCTATACTAATAAAAGGGTAATATGCTAATTGGACCGGATAGACCAGACATCTTCCGGACAAAGCCGCGTGGCAGGGGCTGAGGCAGATGTGGTTTGGGGCGATCAGGTCAGCAGGGAGAGTGGTTAGGGGCGATCAGGTCAGCAGGGGAGAGCGGTTAGGGGTGATCAGGCCAGCAGGGGAGAGCGGTTAGGGGCGATCAGGCTAGCAGGGGAGAGTGGTTAGGGGCGATCAGGCAGGCAGAGTGGTTAGGGGTAATCAGGCAGGCAAGCAGAGGGGTTAGGGGCAATCAGGCAGGCATGCAGAGTGGTTAGGGGCGATCAGGCAGGCAGGCAGGTGAGCGGTTAGGAGCCAGTGGTCCCGGATTGTAAGAGGGATGTCTGAGTTGGACATCCCCCGAGGGGTCCTGGATTGGAGAGGGTGTAGGCTGGGCTTAGGGATTCCCCCTCTCCTCCCTGCCACCCCCATGCACGAATTTCATGCACCAGGCCTCTAGTAGTTCTATAACACATCATCTGTATATTGTAATATGTGCTCACCACCCCAAGTCAAGTCTCCTTCCATCACCATTTATCCCCCCATACCCTCTTCTACCTCCACACTGGGAGGCTGTGTGCAAAAGGTGAAGGGATTAAGCAAAACAAACAAAAAACACCAAAAACCCACAGACAACAGTATGGTGATTATCATTATTGTTTTAAATCGATGAGGTATTTAGTCAGCTTGAAAACCAGAATGATATTTTCTTATCCTTACTAACTTCCTTTTTGTCCTGATATATGATGAGTGACCACATCTCTTGAATATTAACACCCTTGGGCAGTCCCTCCACCGTGACTGTGGCAAATTCTTCTCTGAGTGACTGCTCCTCACCAGAGCTGAGCATTCCTGGAAACTGAAAGAGAGAGAGAACATTTTGTTCTTCCATCCTCATGCACTGTCCAGCTTTCCATTTCTGTGTGGAGTCTGAGTAACACCCTGTGACCTGAGGTCAGAGGGAAGAATATTAAACCACGTGTACAGTGATTCTGTAGGGAGGTTGAATTATAATACACTTCCTGATATTTAGCTTTGAGTTATGGCATCCATGATTGGGATGCCTTTATTGATTAAGTCCTTTCTGCCTTTTGCATCCTGTCCTCATAATTCTTTTTAAAAAAATATTTTTATTTATTTCAGAAAGGAAGGGAGAGGGAGAGATAGAAACTTCAATGATGAGAGAATCATCGATTGGCTGCCTTTTGCATGCCCCCTACTGGGGATCAGGCCTGCAACCCAGGCATGTGCCCTTGATCGGAATCAAACCTGAGACCCTTCAGTCCGCAGGCTG